TCCTTGTAGATATTGTACTGTTTGTCCAGCAAGAAAAACACCTGCCCACCAGAGAGTCGTCGGACCGCCCTCCACTGCCGCTGTCGTCCGCCGCTTTGCTGGCAGTCGCCGGTGAGAAATTGCCGGTGTTAACTTTTTTTTTCTTTCTCGTCGTTCGCGCGCACCTGTCGGGCCCCCGCCGCCGTCGTCCCTGGCGCCTGGCCCCCGTCCGGGCTTGTAGCTCGCGTCATCCCCCGGTGGTAGCCGCGCCTCGTCCGATCCCCGCGGCACGCCAGTAGCGCTCTCGCGGTCGTCCGTCGGAGCTTCTAGGGTCGTCGGTCCTCCGCCTGCACCCTCCGGTCGTCTTGCGTCGCGTGGCCGAGCACCTGACGGCAAACCGCCGTGCTCGCCATGCATGCGGTTGTCCGGTAATCGGTGTCGCCACAACCGAGCTCTTTCAGGTCTTTGAGGTTCGTGGATCTTCGTGATCTCCCGGTCATCAACACACGATCACAATACGAAAAATATAATTTACAAAATTACTTAATCTGATCCTAGATCCAACAAATGGATGTACATGTTCATCTAAACAAATAATTAAATATATCCAGTCAAACCCCGAGAAAATAATTATTACAAACATTCATCCATTAAATTCTTCGACATGACTGAGTCTTTAAAAACAAATTAAAACTATTTATCACGTTAAACAACATTCATCAAACACATATGCAATTATAATAGTGGATTAAACTAATTCCTGCAAAACCGAGTTATACGGATATAATTTAATATATATGGTTGCGTTTGAACACATCTTGTCAAATAAATCCGTAATAACTCAAACTTTGTACGAAACAAATTAACCATGTGCTAAGATACCACTTGTTGGGATATGTGAAGATCTCGTTATGTACAAGTCATGAATTCAATAGCAAACTTAAATTTATGCGCAGCGGATCTAAAGGTTTGACGTAGAAAATTTACGGCTTAGAATTTTCTGAATCTGATGTATTCGGGATTGATCGGGAGCACCACGTCATGGGGATGCTGGGATCACGCGGATGAGGCGAGGCGAGGCTCGTCGACATCGGCGGGTCACAGTGCTGCGGTGTGCCAGAGGCGTCGCGCGGGACTGGCCAGGATTGCGGGCTTGCGGAGTCATCGAGCTGGGCTCTGCGACTTGCTGCAGCTCGCGATTGGCTTCGGGATCGGCGCGGGGTTCGGCCGTCGGCTGTCGTGGGCTCACGGCGATGGTCAACAATCGTCCGCTTTGGTTGATGATCACAATGTCTCGGTTACCTCAAGATCTTCTACTGTATAACTCGAACACCTCTTCAACTTGTACTACTGGAGCAACAACAAGAAAATAAAGCTCGAACAGAAATCTAGAGAAAGAGGGGCGGGCGTGTGTATATAATTGCACATAGGAGAATTCCGATATCTTCTTTTATTTCCCATGACCTTAATGATGTATATATATAGATAAAGTAGGGATCTTAGGAAAACATGATTAGGGCTTCTTAAGTAATAGACTAACTGTGGGCCTAGCCCACTCTTCTAATTACTTAAATAATACTATGGTCCACTAACGTAATATTATTGCACTCTATTTTCCTATCATATATTACATTTGAGACTCCAATTATAATTACTCAAATTACCCCCCAAGTTTAAGATATAATGTCTATTAATTAATTCGATTACAAATAATCAAGAATTAATTAATATATTATATTATCAAAGCTAACGCTCGTTCATTGCATTATTATTATGTCAAAACTTAATCCACCTGCATGATTTAACATAACAATCCTTCATGAACTCACTTTGCGGACATCATCAAACTAACGCACATGGTGACTGTAAATATCCTAACAACACATCATACATACCAACAATATTACCCAATACAATAAGACTATTTATCCAACGAATTGAATCTCACACTAGTGAATCAAAGTAATAAGTACTGCATGTATGTCAGTTTAATATCTTACGGGTTAAGAGAACACAGTAATTAACCGAGACTTAAGTTTGTTTACGACGATCAGTATAAAACAAACAGTTTCTCTCTGAGATTCTGTTTAATGCATAATCGTACTAGTGCAACTAATCAGTCAAGATAAACTGTACGGTTGACACTACAGTTGTTCTGATTGGGTGTTCATTTCCATCTAGGTTGTGAACCATAAATTCTTGTTTCGCAAGTAACTGATAAAATGATCTACTGTCCATCCGTGATGAACCACTAATCGAACATATACTCGTTCATCAAGGGAAAAAGTGTATTATCATCTAAAACTAAGCTTTTAGTATATAATATCAACAACGCAGTCACTTTAACCTCTTCGATTCAGATTCGGGGGTTTAGGGGTGCAACAGAAAGTTGGTCTCGATTCGGCTGAAACATCCCCTACTTTTTTTTTTATCTTTCCTATGATTGCTCTCTTTTTGGTGGATTTTTTTTTACCTTTTCGACTCTAAATTCCTTGAGTCGTTTTATTGGGTACTTCCTTGGAATCGGGAGTGGCAATCAACGACCTGTTGTATATGTCGTTGAATGTTTTCCCTCAGCTCATTGATTAGTGGAACCTCTGATTAAGATTTTATGGAATTATTTCCAAATTGGATCTTTTTCTACACCGATTTCCGTTTGAAGGACGGTTTCATCTTGCGGCTGCAATTCGGAGGAAGAAAATTAGCGCAAGATTCCATTAGTTTTGAGATAACCGATAAAAGAAGCTACCTTCTATATCTAATGCCAATATATCTTATCCTAGCAATCGTTCTTATCTCGTAATTGTGTAGAAGTTTTTCCTGTTTCGTTTTTTTAAAATAAAATTTGAAAGCTCTCGTTTATGGAGTAATTTTCTTAGAAAACAAAGTTAGAGCGCAAGATTCCATTAGTTTTGAGATAACCGATAAAAGAAGCTACCTTCTATATCTAATGCCAATATATCTTATCCTAGCAATCGTTCTTATCTCGTAATTGTGTAGAAGTTTTTCCTGTTTCGTTTTTTTAAAATAAAATTTGAAAGCTCTCGTTTATGGAGTAATTTTCTTAGAAAACAAAGTTAGTTTTATTATTCATTCATTTCCTATCATGTTCTTTTGGCATGCTACACCACTTTCAACACTTTTTATATACATACATGTGAAACACAGTGGCTCTTGCTTGTGTTGGTGAAACACAATCTATTGACTTTCCTGTCAAAAGTCTCTATCTATAGAAGGTTTTATGCAGCTCCATTTTGCCATTGTCTTCATGCTTCACAAAGGGATTTATGGATCATCTTTGCCTACCAAAGATTGTTGGTTAAGAGGGGCAAGGACCTAGAGAAGCTCAACAGACAAGTCACCAAACTGCGCAAGAGCAACTCGACCCTAGAGAAGACATACCAGGAATTCCTTGAAGGAGAGGGGAAAAGAAACTAGCGCTACCCAAGACAAGGGTCAAACTTTGGGTCGTCAAATTTTCCTCGCATCAACCATGGGGAACAAAAGAGTTGGTGTATGAATTTGCAAATCCTCCCACATTCTCCAATACTTGACACTTTCACTTAATCGAGCCAAGGCTTATATAAAATTCCCTAGACTTCTCAACAAGTGTAGATCAAGTCGCAGTTGAAGAGAACCTCCTGCACCC